GGAGGGGTGTTTAAGGGGGAGGCGATGAAGCGACACCCCGGCGCTGTGCCCCCCAGATCGCCGCCGGGGCACAGCGGGGGCCCTTTCCTCCAGCCCACCCACTAGGCCGACGTGAGGAAAAGTAAATGCCTTGTTATTAAGTCCCTGCGTGACCCCGCAGTCCCTGCCGCGGCCAGCGGCGCTGTGCAGGTAGGGCCTGGCATTGAAATGTGAAAAGGTTGGCGAGGAAGGAGGGACCCGACAGACCCGGTTCCTCCAGGCCAGGGTCCCAGGCCAGGGTAAGAAACGAGGGGCCCCAAGAGGGGAGGAACCAGGTTGAGGAGCGTCTGGGTTTGCAAGGCAGCCGGCGCCCGGCTCCGGGGCCTGCGGGCCCCCGCGGGCTTTGAGGAAACACAGCTGGGAAGGACCGGACCCCTCAAGGACTCTGAGGTTTCAGACGCACGGACTCGGATTTCAGGAAGGCCCCACGCCCACCAGACGACCACGCCTTGGCCCGGATCTCACCACGGGTGCGTAAGTTAAAAGCCTTAAAAACGCAACTGCCGGACGTCACCTGCGGTTGCTCCGACTCACTCAGGATTGGGTGATGGAGTGTAAGAAACATGTCTCAGGTCCAGCAGAAATTCTCCCCAGACCCTCAGAGAACATTCCCCCACCCCCGATTTCTCTTATTTCGGACTCACACGTGCAGGCCGACCACCTCTTTGTGGCGAATTAAAATAACCAGGCTTCGTTCTGAGGTCCTAGCAAAGCCTCTTCTGGGTTTTCAAACGCAGACTCGGCTCCCGAGCCCGAGCTCCCGGGGTGTGAGCCCAGCCGTCCCCGAGCCGCACGACGGCCGGGCCCCGGGGGGCAGGGAGGTCCTCGGGCCGCCCCCTGCCCTCGGGGGTCTCATTGGGGACCCTGCCCATCAGGTGCCGGACTCCAGGGAGATGCCAAGAAGAAGGGACCCGGGGGCAACGCGGTGGGGGACATCTGTCAACCCTCCGTGGGCTGGTGCTTCTGACCGCGGCTCTCAGGTTAAGTGTAACAAGAGTTTGCAGTGATAAAAAGCGACAGACAGACCTTCTACTCTTAACGACCCTGCCCTGGTTGTCACGCAGGCGGTCCAACGCGGGGGACATGCATTCCCGCTTGCGGTGGTCGCCGACAGCCCCGTGCTGGGCAGGCGGGGCGCCCCCCACCCAGGACGCCCCGCAGGGTGTCCAGCTGCGTGATTCCAGCCCCACTGGCCGCTGGGCTGCCCGGGCCTCGGGCTGCCCTCTGGGGCTGATCCGCAACCTCCTCGCCGACTCTGAGGGCCCCCCGCCTGTCACTGTGGTCAACCCCTCTGCCACCGGGGTCCCCAGACTCAGGGCCTGTTGTTTGTGGGCACGCCGCCCAGGTGTGGGATATCCAGTGTCGCTTCCTCAACAGTGGACCCTGCAGCCGCGAGCCCAGAAGCCTGGGTCACCATCGCCGCCGCCGACGTCCACGGGCCAGGCCGCCCGGCCGAGCAGCGGCCCTGGGTCCCATCGCCATTCCAAGCAGCTCTCGTCTCTGGACTAGTTCCGGCCGGAGGTCGGCCCCGGGGTTGCCTCTGCACCGAACCAGGTACTGAATAAACAGGTTTCGAGCCACCGTCTACGCTCCTGAGGATTCCAGCCTCCACCCTCCGGCGCCGTCCTCTCAGCGGGTGGGGAGGTGGGGAGCTGCGTGTGCTCAGGAAAGGACACGCTTCTCAAGGGACCCCAGCAGTGTCCGGCTGCAACAACACATCCCTGGGTGACAATGTGTATTGTGGACTATGCGCCTCACTGCTCCGGCAAGGGAGGTACGGCGGTCTCGTGGTCCAGCCGAAGCATTTAACGACAGTCTTGTTATTAGAAGCTTCTAGGCCCAAAATTCTGTGCTGTCCCACTGTTCCTCACGGGTAGGACAGTGACGGAGAGAATGCAAACCAACGGCCGCACCGGGAAGCTACAACCAACTCTGTGAGCCCGGTAACCAAGCCCCTTCCGTGAAACCTCGGGCCGTCGCCCCTTGCTGCCCGCGCGCCCACGGACTGGGAGCCTTGCGTAGGCGCTACCGCGTGGAAGGGTGTGCCCCTTCTTGGCAGGATCCTCAGGGTTCTCAAAAGACCTCTAGCGACGTCTTCATTTTCGTTTCTGGAAAACCTTAAGGCAGCGGTAGGACCCTACTGAGCAGCCTTCGATCTGATGTTAAAATCAACATTCAATGTAACGGCTGGACGTCGGCCCAGAGGGCGGCAACGCAGTTGCGCCTTTTGCTTGTCAAAGTCAGCGTGCGGTCGCCAGGCGCCGGGGAGACCGGGGACGCGCGGCCTGGGGCTGCCGCCAGTGTCCGGGCTGCGTTGCTGCGGGTGGTGCTGGTGGCCTCGGTTATAACGGGGGAGGATTTCCCTTCGCGTGGACCTGGCCACGGGGCGGAGACTCGGGCGGCCCTGCACACCCTTCCCCTGCTCTCCCTCGGCCCTCAGCCCTCCAAGACGGTCAGTCGTTGAAGATCCTTTTTGGGAAACAAATCAAGAGGGCGTTTCGCTGCAGCGGCGGCGCTTCCCGTTTCCGACGCTGCGATTCCGCTCCGAGGAACCCCGCGCAGCGAGCCAGGCCCTGGGCGCGGGCGCTGCCAGGGTGGTCTTCATCCCGGTGTTTTTTTCTTCCCTTTCCCTTTTTCTCTTTCAAAGGGAGTGTCTGGAAAGGCCACTACGTCGCAGACTAGAAACAGGCCATCTGTGACGTCTACCTTGCCGTTATTAAAGAAGGAACCACGGTTCCCCAGGGCTCCCAGCCGCAGAAATCTGGGCGCCGGGCGCAGGGCTTTCCGGGGAAACGGCACTAAGTCGATTAAGCAGCCACGTCGGCCGCGACGGGTGCCAACCGGTGGGGGCGCTGGCTCACACCCACGCAGTTTCGTGTACGTGCGTCCCAGAGCGATTCCCTCTCAATGGATCTGTGCTGCAGCAAACGCTTAACTTGAATTGCAAAGCCATGAGCTTCGTGTTTTATGAGGGAGATACTGAGAAGACACTTTAAACCTCTCGCTTATGAATTTTTAAAGGAGACCCGTCCCAGCACGGGCCGGGGTCTTGCGGCCGGGACCCCCGGGCCCTTGCTCTGTGGGGCGCTCGGGGGGGCGCTGCCACTGACGGCCCTGGCGCTCGGGGTCCGCCGCTCCCGGCGTGGCGCGGCCACCGTGGTGTCGGTCCGTGTCCCCTTTATTCCAGCGACCAGGGACGCCCTCGTGAGGGGCCAAGGATTGCGTGACAATAAAGCCTCAAGGTGGAACCTGCTGGGGCCCAGAAGGCGACCCTGGACGCAATGAGCCGCAGTGGCCACCTCAGGGCAAATACCGGGCTCCCAGGGGACCGGCCCCGAGGGGCGACCCTCGAAGGCGCCGGCGTGTCGGCTGGGAGGCCAGCCCCACAAAAGTCAGGACGGGGTGGCCTGGGGCGCGGGCGGGCTGACGGGAGAGGCGCTCGGGGAACGTGCCGGGCTCACGGCTGTCCTGCGTCTGACGGGACCACGCAGCGCCCTCATGGGTCACGCTCCTGCGGTCGTGTCCGCAGAGGTGTGCACTCCGTGGCGTATGACTTCCGTTCTGGTTATTGACACGAGTGGGCCCGTCTGGGGACGTCGCGCCTCGGCGTCTTCAGCGACCTCCCCATGGGACGTGATGCTCAGGGGCCGCAGGAAGGAGGCGCCCGGCCTGCGGGACGCACAGCGCGGGGACAGCGGACACTTTCGGGGCTGATGACGCCCAGAGCGTCACCCCCGCCCCCCGCTGCCCTCAGCCCAGGCCGGCTCGGTGACCGTGCAGTTGCCGGCAGGGCACACAGGCCGGCAGGCTCACGTCGGGGTCCCTGGGAAGGGCGTGGCCCAGGACTTGAACGATGCCGGTCCCTGAGACATGCGCCCGAACCGTGTGGGAGCGTGGGCCGACGACGCGACCTCACGGTGCCTCTGCCGCCACGTGGCGGCGGTGGTCACCTCTCAGAACGTTGTCATGAGGCTGGGAGAGACTGAAGGCCAGCACTGAGGCCGCGGGGACGGTGTTACGGGGCGGCGCCTTTGGAGGCGGGAGGAGAGCACCCCCAACGGGGCGTGGAGACCGGGGCGAGTGCTCTCTCTGTCCCCGCCGTGTGCGGGCCCGGAGCCTGCAGCCGGGAGGCGGTGCTGACCGGACCCTGACCGCCGACCCCCTGGCCTCGGACTAGCAGCCGGCAGGACGGTGAGGCGTTGCTGCCTGTGTTGCTCAGGCCGCCCGGCCTGCGGCGCCCTGTGGCAGCATCATTGGCCTGTTATCAACAGACCGAGACGGAGGGTCCCAGGAGGAGAGAGCAACGCGGTGCTCAGCCTGGAGCCTGGCACCGAGCAGCCAACACAGGTGACAGGGGCAGTCTCATCAGCATCGAGGTGGCTTAGAAATGTTAAGAACGTGGCCCCTCGCTCGGGTGTCTGATTATTTACCAGTGCCCACAGCCGGGGTCCTTTGGCACCCAGGGACACAGGGGCAGGGGGTAGGAAATGTCCAACAAGGCAAGGACCTGGGACAGCGACTGTTCAGGTTGGCTCCTTCGGGAGCTTTAACCTATGGCTTCCCTTCCGGCTCTCCCACCTCAGCCCAGAACAGGGCAGTCTGCCTGTTAGAGCGAGAGTCACATACCTGTGCCTAGTCTAGTGCCCCCAGAAGCCACCTCCTGCTCCCTGCCCTCCCAGGACAGCGCCCCTGCCCTCGAGTGGAAGGGCTTGCCCCGGAGAGCCCCACGCACCTGCGGCCAGGTGCGCGCCCAGCACGTCAGACCACGTGATGCTCCCCGAGGCTTCGACGGTATCTTTTTAACTTAGCAGAACCTCAGGAAGCTGGAGTTGAGTTTATAGTGCAAGTGAAAGGAAAAGACAACCACCACCGTAACCCAGCAGGGGCGGCGGCGGCCACAGCGACTACTCGGCCCCGGCCCCGGCCCCCGGCCCCGGCCCCCGGCCCCCGGCGCGCCTCACCTTCGTACAGCCAGTCGCTGAGGCCGTTGTAAATGACGCCCTCCTTGCCGGTCGAGACCACGCGGATGGCCTGCTTCCCGACGTGGGCGCAGTAGTAGATGTTGTTTTCAAAGATGAATATCTGGTTTGGGAAGAGAAAACAGGCAGTGTTAACCGAGAAGGTGGCTCTCGGCGGGGTGCTCTTCCAAGTCCCCAGCCAGCCACGGGCTTTGCGTTCTCCGCGTGTGCGAACTTGACAGGACAAAGGCCGCCTCGGGATCCTGTGGGCTCACCCCCAGCAGCTAGGACCCACATTTCAGGTTAGTCGGAGGCTCAAACCCCACGTCGAACTCCACATGGATCCCCCCATGGCTTCATTTCCCGGGACTGCAGTTTTGAGTACTTGGACATCGAAGTGCATCGACTCTTAGCGATCCTATTCACACAGAGCAATTACTTCGGGTGGGCTGGGAAACCAAAAATCTGAGATTTACCCATTTAATATCATTAAAATCAACTTAGCGGCACCTGTTCTGTGCACGGGGACAGGTGAGGTGCGGCACGCCACACGCTGTCACTCGACTTGCAAAGAAGACAAACGAACAGGAGACCGTCCCCGCGGGGATGGGCGGGACTCGGGGAATGTGAACCAGGTCTCTCTACCGTAGGCCGAGGGCTTCCCCGAGCGAGCGCCGGGGAAAAGCTGTTTCATTGTGTGGAAACAGATGTGACGCAAAACCTATCGCCGGAACCACTTCTAAGTACACGGTTCGCACTGCTGCCCCCAGACCTCGGTCCCCGTGCCGAATGCGACCCTGTCCCCATAGGACACTCACCCCCCAACCTGCCACCCCAGCTCCTGGCAACCGCCACTCTGCTCTCTGTCTCTTCCAATGCCACGACTGCAGGGACCTCCTGTAAGTGGAACCACCACACAGCCCTGTCCTTCCGTGACGGGCTCTTTTCTGCCCGTCCTCCAGGCGCCTCCGCGCTGCAGCAGGTGTCAGAGTTCCAAGAAAGCGGTTTCTAAGCTGGGAGCTGAAAGAGGGGCAGGGCGGAGGGAGGGGCTGGGAAGGAGTGGCTGGAGGGAGGAGTGGAGGCGGGGCTGCCCGCCCCAGGGGTGGGGGGTGAAGAGGAGCGGCTGGAGTGGGAGGCGGGGCGTGTCGGGCTCCAGGAGCGGCAGGGAGCCCTTGCCAGCGGCTTGGGAAGGGGCGCCGGTGGGTGAGCCGCGAGTCCCTGGAGGGAGGACCGGGCACGAGTCAGTCTCTGTCCTCAGGCGGCAGAGCTGGACCGCCAGCCAGGACAGCAGGCAGCTCGCCGCCTGGTAGGGGCGGGGAGCGAGGCCACATGGTACTTGTCGTCCTCTGCCTGGCTTCTTCCGCTTAGCACAGTAGTCTCTGGTTCCAGCCACGCTGTTGCAAAAGGTAACGTTTCCTTCTTTTTTGCAGCTGCGTAGTATTCCGCTTTGTAAATACATTACCGCTTTTTTATCCTCTCATCTGACGATGGGAGCGTGGGCTGCTTCCAGATCTTGGCAACTGTCTATGATGCTGCAGTGCACCTAGGGGTGCTCATGTTCTTCGGAATCAGTGTTTCGGGTTCCTTCAGACACAGTCCCAGAAGTGGCATCGCGGGGTCCTACGGGCAGATCCATTTTCAGTTTTGGGAGGAGCGGCCATTCTGCCTTCCGCTGTGGCTGCACCAGCCTGCATTCCCGCCCACAGAGCTTGAAGGCTCCCCTTCCCCCACATCCCGGGGGCGGGCGGTTTGCACAGGCCAAGGAAGGGTGGGCATATCGACATTTTCTACTGAAGATGCAAAGAAGGCAGTTTCCCCAGATGGTCTGCGGGCGCGGTGGACCTGAGGGACCACCAGTATCCGTGTTCGGCTCAGGCCCCCGGAGCATAAAGAATTCACGGCAGCCAGGAGCGAGCTGGCCATCTTCCAGACACGAGGATACCTCCTGATTTAATTTTAGTAGCGGTTCTTATGAGTTCGCCTAAGGGTGAGATGTATTACACAACTTTAACTTCTTTTATGCGCTCTAAGCCTGTAATAAATTTTGGAATCCAATGAGGCGGCGGCAATTAATATAATGAGAAAGTAAAGCGTGCCGTGACAGACGCGAAACCCTGCCTCACCTTGGCTTTATTTGTAATGGAAGGAAGTGAAAAGCCGCACGCTATTAGGAATGCATTTGCTGTGACGCGGTTTTACGGTTTCCTTTGGATGTTCGGTCGAGATAGCTGAACAGAAGGTGCGGGAAGCTACTGCGTGCTTTTGGGGGCTGCACAATGCCAAGCCCTGGAGGGCAGGACTCCGGGGGTGCTGGGCCTTGGCAAGGTCCGATCTTGGGGCGAGCGGCTGGGTTTTCCATCGTTCGCCCCCGCGGGGCACACAGGTGCTGCAGCGTCCGGGTCTTGCTGGGGCTCTTCCCCTGCCCAGGGGTGGCCGGTGGCGTCTGGATCAGACCAGGCACGGCCCCGTCCCTTGTCCCACTGGCCTAGGATGCGAGGCTCCTTCCCTGCTGTGGCCTTTTCTTTTACTGGGGTGACGTTGGTTAATAAAATGATATAGGTTTCAGGTGTACGATTCTGCGACCCATCACCTGCACACTGCGTTGTGTGTTCACCCCCCGAAGTGGTCTCCTTCCACCCCCGGCCCCCTCCTGCCCACCAGCCCCCTTCCCTCTGGCAATCGCCACACTGTTGTGTGTGCCTATGAGGGTTTTCTCCGACTGGCTTATTTCACGTTTCCCCGATCCTCCAGGACCAGCGCTGTCCCTCGCTTCCGGGCGCGGTCATCGGTCTCGTCTCCTTGCTATCGGGGGCGGGGGCAGCACGCGCCGAGAGCCGTGTCAGGGTGCCCCGGCCCCGAGCCGCCCGCCGACGCCACGCGACACTCACGCGCTGCCAACCCAATGCTCCGGGACTACGCAGCGAGGTCTACTCCACCGTTCTTACAAAACACGCCCCATTTTCACGAGCCTGATTCTTCAAGAGCCGCTCGACGGAATACGGTCATACACGCACGGATAGAGTACATTCGGTGGAAGTTCAATGAATTGGGATTCTCGGGAGGGATGCGAACTTTCAGTTAAATAGACTTTCTGGGTTAATGATCTACTCAAGGAAAAGATCTTTTTCTATTGCAGTCTTCATTGGGGACCTACTTTCCTGACTTGTGAATTAGAATGGCGAACACAGCCTGAAATGCTTGTTGACGGAGGACCTTGTCCCGCCTAAGATGACCAACGCAACTCTGTACTCCTCTTGCCCAGGATGGCGGCGCCCTAGTCGAAGAAGGGTGTCAGCCTACATCTAGAGCAGCCCCACACGGCCCCTTCCCTTGGTGCCGCGTGTGAGTGTTAGTCTCGCTCTTCTCTGTGTAACTGGAACAGAGACGCGCTACACCAGTATTTAATGGATGAGGTAGCTGGGTTTCCACTAACTGAGGCTTTCTTCGACTTTTCTGAAAAGCTACTACCACTGCAGGTAACTCACTCAGCAGCAATTGCGCTCTGTGTGTGTGTGTGTGTGTGTGTGTGTGTGTGTGTGTGAAGGGCTGATTTTATTTATGCCCTCCGTATTCCTAGACCTGGCTGAAAGCAGAGGACGGGAAGAACACGCAGCCACAGGTTCACAGGCGGGCACCGTAAAGCTCGAGAGGCACGCCCGGCAGAGAGGGAGCGCCTCCTCTCAGGAACCAGGGAGGGGACAGTGACCATCCGTGGGGCAACTCCGCGTCACGTTCTGGAAAATCAAGGCCACGCGGGAAGCCCACCGAAGAGCTCGGCGCCTGAGGGACGTGAGCCACGCGGCTCGGGGCGGAACAGGGGCACAGAAGGGACCCGGGGCTGGAAGCGGACACCGGAATTCTCGTTGCGGCCACCGGCTGCCTGCCCGGCTTTGAGCAAGCGCCCGGGCCTGGCCGCACTCACGTCCTCCTCCGGACGTGAGGGACGCGGCTGGTCGATCACTCAGATCCCCTCTGCCCGGGGCCATCCTTGCACCGAAAAGCCTCATGAATATTTAGCTCAGGAAATGACCTTTAGCTAATGAATTAGTGGTGCTATTAGCACATTCATCTTCAGTAGGAGAGCTGCTGAACAGGAAGGGGAAACGGAACGTTCATCCTGAACCCAGCATGTGGCTATCGAGGAGAAAACAGAGTCTTTGTGTGCCAATTAAAAACCTCAACTATCACATGATCCTGGGTCCCTGCCTTCCCTGATCTTGGGACACTTCTTGGTGGCAGGCACTATTTATTACCGCCTCTCCCTTGTTGGCGGCTGCCTCTCTTGAACTACCCATGTCCTGACCAAGGGAGGGACCACTGGACTCACACTTCCACAGCAAATAAGAATAAAAGATCCTGTTGCGTATCGCACGCGATGGCATTGAAACGGCGGCCCCTGGAATGTCCTGGATGATCGCGGAGGAGCCTGTCGCCGACCACGGTCCCGCTGCCATCAGAAGTTACGTGCTGCTGAGGCAAACCGGAGGACGCGTGTTCTAGGCCCTCCTAACCCCACAGGAAAGACGCCCGGGGTGTGCACCCCATTTGGTGTCTCGGGGCCACACTGGAAGAGGAAGAGTTGTCTTGGGCCACACGTTAAATACACTGTGACACATAATCACAAAAAAGTCTCCTACTGCTTTAAGTGCATTTACGATTTTGTGTTGGGCGCATTCACAGCCACCCTGGGCCGCACGTGGCCTGCGGGCCGCAGGGTGGACGCCCCCGGGACACGGAGCTAATGCACGTTGCCGGAACAGGACGCACAAAGGGAACGTCACCGGCACACGGAAATTCTGTCACTCAGTCTTGCAACCTGGTCACTGTATCTCTTAGGAGACAGGTGAAGAAGCAAAGCGCTTCCGGGACAGGTCGCTATGTCCTCGGGAGGCTGGCGCTGGTCATGTTTGTATCTCTATGCGGCTTTCCTTTCGAGGCTCAAGGCATAACATCAACGTCACCTCCGGCCCCTCAAATGGTTCCGTCCGCAGGGCACATGACAGCTGGTTAAAATGTCCAACTGTGGGCCATAAAAAAACCCCTTCTGCACTCAGAACTTTGAGACTTTTAGGGGCCACGGCTGTGACTCCCCCGAGGATGTGGCTCCTGCCACCCACACTTCCT